AAAACAGGCTCGCTGCTAGGGTTTGTCGGGCAATGCCTCCTGAAATGCCCTGGCTGACCACAACCCAAACATAAGCCTTGGGCGAGCCAACACTCGCCCGGGTGATGCCTACCACACTGTACACACTGCGGGTGGCTCCTCGTTCTGATCGAGTTGCTAGCGGCGGCCGACGGAGACGGCCTCGACTTACTCCTCTTAGGCGGCGGCGCACTCGAAGAACCCTTCTCGTACCTCGTTCCCCCGAATCCAAAACTCTTTCTGCTCGGCCCGGTGCTGGCCGCGGGTCGCGGGTCTTTCGTCGCTCGATCCTCCTTCTTGGTTGCCTGAAAATCGTCCAAGCTCTTTTCCGTCTTCACAATCAAATCATACGCCGCATTAAAATCTGTCGTCGTGATCAGCACGGCGTACGGCCTCAAGTTCGGCCATAGCTTCTTGACGAACTCATTCAAACGATCCTCCGGAGTGGAGACCAGACTCGTCGCATACTGGGACAGGTAGTCGAACTCTTGTCTCAGTTCAGGCAGTGACATCCCCTCTTGCTTAAGCACAACGAACTCATCGCGCCTCTCCTCGCGATACCGGGTGGGGACGTACTCCTTTGTGAAGGCTCGATCAAAGCGATCCCAGGTCCAAGGCTTGGGCGTGTGTGGATCCTGGTCAATGCGCTTCCACCAATCATATGCTCCCTTCCGGAACATCTGTGACGCCAACTCCGAGCGATCAGCATCTGGGACTCTCAAATTCTTGAGTACCCGGTCCATCTGCTCAAGCCAATCCAATGCAATCTAGGGTTCCCCCATCTTGTCTCCTCGAAATTCTTCCGCTCCATTATCCTTCAACGTCTTGAAGGTAACGATGTGTGGCTACGGCTGTGGTGGTGGCGGTGGCTGGAACATGGGCATAAGCAGCGCCATGTGCTGCATATAATGGGCCATCATGGCCGAGAACATCTGCTCGTAGGCCACCGGCGGTAATGCCAACGGTGGCATCACTGGAGGTGGTACGACTGGCGGTGGTACAGCTGGTGGCTGTCCCGCCGGCTCAGGTTGATTCTGCTGTTGCCCTCCGTCACCCGGAGGCGTGAAACTCGAACCCTCGGTGTTCACCGTGTGCACGCTCACGTGCTCCGGCTCCGGAACGTACTGACCGTGGGTCGATTCTTGACTCATTCTAAAATAATAAGGAAATTCCCACGTCAGATCTTAACATATAACAGATAAAGCTATAAATACTTATTACCTTCCCGGGGCAGAGGAGTTACGTGAGATGCAGATGCGGCTGAATTATTCATTGTATTTT